GGATGATTCTGTGACTCTTGTCACAGCCCCAAGCAGGTCCTCATCACCTTCAGGATTCAAAAAAATCCTGGGCAATGAGACTGTGTGGTCTCTCCCACTGCCTGTAGAAAGTGGGAATGGTGAGGTTTGTGTTGGGATTTTGGGAATGCCACACCAAAGCCAGGGGGGTGAATTAACTACCCAGCACCACATTTCATGCAAAGGCAGACACAAACACAATTTAACTCCCAAGGAAAACAGCCCTTCCTTTCTTCCCTTGCCTGTCCTGGTGCCAGCAGCAGGGACCAGCCTTCAGCATCCTCTTATCCAGAGGTCACATGAGAGTGCCACCACAGGCAGCTCCAGGACTTCAGTGGTTGAAAAGGAAACTTGTATGTTGAGCATTTTATTAATTCCTAATTGACCTTGAGGATTTTTTTTTGTTTTCCCTTAAGCTTTTAAACCAAAATTGTGACTCTCCAAAACATACATATTCTAGCAAGGAGCTGGGGCAAGTCAGCTCAGATTTTTCACAGAATTGGGTGTTTTACCTTTGAATTGATCAAAGACTCCATCAGCACAGTCTGTGTTGTTATTTCCTGTAGTTTGATCCACGCTCACAGAAAAATTTACATTTTATGTAGATAGATCAACATATTTTCAGTCTCTCATGCGGAAAGCAGAGGATTTCTTGGAATTTGATAAAGAGATGAGTTTCCAGGGCTGCCTTTGGAGATGTCACTGAATCCCTTTGGAGATCTGCAGACCTTTCCTCACTGGAGCTTGGCCTGATGATCCTGGGTGGTGAAATCTGAACAGGCCCTGTTCAGGGCAGTGGGGGGAGTCCCCATCCCTGGAGGGATTTAAAAGCTCTGTGAATGTAGCACTTGGAAAACCAGGTCATGGTGGTGCTGGCAGTGCAGAGAGAATGGTTGGGCTCTGTGGTTTTAAAGGGTTTTTCCAAACTAAATGGTTCCATGGTTCTATGATCTGCCCTGCTCCAAAAGGTGTCCCATGGTTTCCTTAGGTAGGTGAGTGAATCTCTCTAGTCTCTTCTTTTACTCTTTTCTCCCCAAACCTCTGTGCAAGAAGACACCAAGGACAGCAAAGCCAACCAGACCATGACAAGAGCACCCCAGCAGTGCCAGCTTTACCTTGGAACAGCCACCAGTGTCCCCAGTGGTGTCACAAAGAGCAACCCCCCAGCCTGAGCTGTGCTGGAAGGGAGAGCAATAGATACCCATGTTGACATTTGCCCCTTTAATTCTGCATTAAAATGATAATCTCCAGTTCATCTCCATCACATGCTCCTTTTTCATCTCTCCCGTCTCCACGTCTCTTGGAAGAAGCACATAAGCCTGGATGTTGAAAGGTCCTTAATGGTTCTTCTGAGGCTGAATCCCCTCCAGGACTTGATGTCAGTAGAGAAAAAAGCTCAGATTTGCCTCACCTGCTTCTCAAGCGCTGCCAGCCCTTTCCAGGATTAAGTCATTATAATCTCCTTAAGCAGTCATGAAATAAAATAAACACAAGTGTGGTTTTCTGCTCAAAATAAAAATACTAAAGTTCACATGAGGAAATGCTTTTGGAGTTGGGAGATTTTGCCTGATTTTCAAATGCAGCTGACTGATGTCTTTGCAAAGTTTTCTGATGTGGTTTTTGGGCTCTTGCTTTGCCATCGAGCTATTCCCCCTCATTAACAACTTTTGCCCATTTTAACCTGAACCTTCCACAGACTCCTGTAAACTTCCAGAGTAGGCACAGAGCAAAAACTCTCTGAACTCCTAAAGGAATCAAACTGATGCAATTTATTTCCACAGAACCATGCAATATTCATTGATACACTGAATCCGTGTTTTTAACACTTTTTAAAGAACTAAAACCCTGGAAAGAATTAATTAGGCATGCTCTGAAGCCTGAGCACTTAACAGTTTTCCACTCAGTTGTAGAATTTTAAGACCACCAACACTGGATACTGGCAAAGATTATCAAAGGTATTCTGGGCTGAAATACAAACTAGTCAGAGGGCTTGGCCACTAAGTGACTGGAAAATACTTCATAAAAGCTTTGGCCAGGCTATTATATTTTGTAAAGAAATTTTAAGAAAAAATCCACAGTATCCAGAAGGTTAAATTTAGGGCAGAGTGACTCACTGGGAAAAAATGTCCTGCTGGGAATATTGTCTTCTCTGCAGATCAGGCAAATTGTTCATGCAGCAGAGAGGTATGGAAGGACCCAGCACTGGGGCTGGAAGTGGGGCTGGAAGGGAATGATGGGCTGGGATCCACAAAGGATCCCATGCCTGAGCATGGGAACGTGGGGCTGGGCTGGAGCAGCCTCTGCAGCCACTGCACACCTGGAGCCAGCAACCTCTGGGAGTGCCAGAAGCTGGGAGATGCTGGCATGGAAACATCCCTCACGCTGAATTGAGATGAAAATGTACCATTCCCCAAAAAATGGAAGGATTTTTTTTTTACCTTTTTTTTTCCACATCAGATAAAACTTCCATTCGATTTTCTGGCATTCTTCCAACCACTTCTGTTGCCTACAACAGTATTGCAAAGAAATCTACCCCTGCCAAAACAGCCACCATTAAATAAGGTCCTTGATAACCCATAATGATATTGCAAAGAACTGATGGGAGTCTCAATTGGAAAAAGTTCCTCATTTAAGTGCCTGGTGCCCAGAAAAATGATGCATGCTGTACAAAGATGACACGGATGGATGCAAGACAAAGATGGTACAGACACCTGGGTATTTTGGACACAAATAACACAGGTCAGATGCAAAAGCATGAAAACAAAATAAAAGAGCCAAAAAAACCCAAACAACACCCAAGCAAGAATTAGTCAATCACAGTTCCTATCCTTGATTAAAAACTCCTAGACAAGCAAAATTATTTAATTTCCTTTTTGCTGTCCCACTATAGAATAAAAACTACTCACCTTAGTAAAACCTCCTATTGACTATTTACTGTCCAGAATTAAAGGAGAAATTTAAAACACTGAGGATATAAAACTGCAGGTGAAGAGGAACATTCCACCCTTCAGGTTCAGTCTTTTTTTCTCTCTCCCTTGTATGCAATGGCTTTCACCAGTAAACAACAACACCAATTTCATTTCCTTGTTACAATCACTTTCCTCACTCATGATCTTGGGATCACTGGCCAAGGGTTCAAGGAGCTGCTGTTCCAAGAGGATCTCTTGGATCTTCCTTGATCTAAGAGGATCATCCTGGAATGACACCCAGAGACGTCCCTGAGTGTCCCCAGCTCCTGATGATGTCACCAGCAGCACGCTGAAGATGCAAGGAGAGAATAACTCAGAGATGATCCCATAGCACAGCGAGTTTAATTGAAACAGAAATGTAGAACACTGCAACATATTCATAAATGTCTTAGATTGTATCATATATTACAACATACTCAAAGATGGGCTGTTTTCTAAACCAAGTACAGCCAAACCCACACGGCTCCCATGTACATGGATTAAACTAGGAAACAAACCAAAACTGTCATAAATGGAAGCTGACAATGAGCCTATATAAAAATCCATGCATATGTACATATATGTATATACACATGTAAAACACACATCTATTGTAAAAGCTCAAATTTTCCTTTGCCATGAAGTGAATTTCCAGTGATGGAATGACCTTCAAGTCAACACGAACCCCCTCAGCTTATGCCAGGACACTATCAAGGGGTTTTTTCAGAAGAGCATGAGACCTTGGATCATTGCAAAGCAAATTCACACAAATTTGTGCCTTTAATTTAGAATTAAAGCCCTAATGCACCATGCAGGGGTCTCCTAAGGGAGTATTTCTGCAAACAGGAGACTGGTTCTGCGAGCCCAAAAATATCATGGGGGGGAGTCTGTGAATTTCTACAGTTTCTTTTAATGCTGTTTCAAAAAGAGCCACTTGTTCAGATTAAACACTGCTGGATCAGAGGAAGGAGAAGAGAAAGAAAAATGTCAACGCAAAACTAAAACTTGTCCTGTCAGGTTCAGTAAGGACAAGAATTCAAAGGCTTGAACTTACCTGGAGTTTCAAAGAAAATTACCCAAAGCTGGGGCTACCTGTCTTCCTCAGGTCTTACCCCCAGAGTTTTCCTGCATCTGCTGTGCAAAGGGCTCCCACCTTTCCTGGGAGGAGCAGCCAGGGTTTGGGTCACCCTCTTGGCACTTTCAAACCCCTCTAAACCCACAGCTCCCAGCTATGGCAGCACAGATCATCCCAAAATATCTTTACAGGATTAATACAACCAACCAACGACGTCAGAAACCTTTCTTATTTATTTAAGGGCTGTCAACCTCATCTCCTGCTATCACCACTGGGTTTGGAGCCTCCTCATTTTAACTTTGAGGTGAATCATTCCTTACATAAATTTTCAAAAACCAGTAAGAACATATTTTGCCCTTTTAACTCAGCTGCAATAATTTTTCATTAGCAGAATTGTGTCTGGGTGAGGGTCAGTCCCTCAGGTAAGACACAGCCCCTTACTTAACTATGTCATTTAACTTTGGGCTTCAAGAGATTAATGTTTATAGCCAGGATCCATCAGTTCCTGAGGAGAAGAAGAAATCTGTTGCTGTTTCTGCGCTTTCCTCCATCCCCTAATAAAACCTTCTTTAAGATTATCAAGTTTTTCCCAACCTATAATCCAAATGCTCCCTGCTGTTTAGCCTATCCCTGAAAAATAATGAGAAGATCCCATATCTCACCTTATTAAAACATCCTTCCTTGCAGTTGTAGGCAGTTTCAGCAATTTTTCCAGACTGAACAGGCTAATTTTTCCTAGAAATTCCTTAGAAATGCCCCCTCAGCCATTCCCTGGCATTGCTGATGCTCAGCTGGGCATCTTTGCCCTCAGTTCCCCCTGAAAACACAACACTGGGCAGTAAGAGCGACTTTCCATGCAAACCACCCTGGATATTCCACCCTGTCCATGCTGTCCTTTCCACCATGCATATTTACATTATCTACACATCCAGCAGCCCTCCCTGAGGGAGTCAGACCCCTCATGGGGAGCCAGAGCATCCCTTGTGTTTGTACATCTCCAGAGTCAGCTCTTTCACCCCCGTGCCGCTGGGCTGGGGCGGCGGGATGGCACACACGGACTTGGAGCGGCTCTCCTTCATTTCCCGAACCTTCTCCGTGTTCCCCACTGTGGGAAGAGAAACACCACGAGAAACACCCCGAGAAACAAACACCATGAGAAACAAACACCCCAGAAACACCCTTCTTTGTGGCTCAGCAGGAATGAAGGAACACCAAGGTGGCCCTGTGCTCTTTGGGGATGAGGTGCTCCATGCCACTCCCCAATTATAAAGCAGGAGACAAAAGATCAGTGTTTCCATGGAAGAAAAAGCCAGAAAAGGTAATTTAAACCCAGGTTTACACTTCAAAATACATCAGGTGTTTGGATCAATATCATCATTCTTTTGTCAGTCCTCATCTGCAGCTTTGCAGAGCAAAAATTCACCTTGGTGACTTCTTAAACCATCTCTGGACAACACATGTGTCCTGCTGGAGCACCTGGAATATCATGTTATCACATTATGGGATTGTTTGATGGGGATGAACATGCAACCACAACAGAAGGGTTACAATCTCCTTCTGTTCTGACACCACAGTATGTCAGGGGCCATGGTGGTCATGTTTTCCTTGGGGTGGAAAAAAAAAATTGACCCAGAAATAATGGTTTTTTATCACTTTTCTCTGCTTTACAGTCATGATTTTCTTCAGGAAGAACATTACTGAAGTATTCCTGATAAACTGTGGATTAAAACAGCTACATCCCAGGTTGGATGAGGCAACCTGACCTAGCTGGAGATGTCCCTGTTTGTGGCAGAGGGGTTGGATTAGATGGCTTTGAAAGAGCACAAATCATTCACTCAACCTCAGGTTGGGTGGAGAGGTGGCACCAAGGCTCTTTCAGCTCTTCTTGCTCACCCATGAGGCTCATTTGAGGAGCCCCACTTTGTCCCACAACCTCCCTGCCACCGGCTGGGCCATTCCACAGGGAAGAGGGTGGGCAGGGAATGACCCCAGCTCCCCAACTTACCGGTGAAGGAGCGGCAGAGCTTGGGCTGCGGGCTGGCCTCGCCCTGCGCCGAGCACGCGTCCTCCTTCTGGGACTGAGGGAGAGAAGGACTTCAGTGCCTTGTGAAACCTGCTCACTCCTGCCTCACAAACAATCATCTGCAATCCCTAAGGATTCCACTCCCTTTCGTTTCACTTTTGCCATGTACAAATAAACAACAGCAATGACAAAAAAAAAAAAAAAAAAAAAAAAAAAAAAAAAAAAAAAAAAGATGGATTGCTAAGAATAGACTGAAGAGATGGCAGGAAGTATTTTGCAGATGGTGAGTTGCTACAACACAGAATCATGGAATGGCCTGGATTGGAAGGGACCTTAAAGATCATCCCATTCCAATCCCTCTGCCATGGGTTCCAATCCCTCCTGCCTCTCACAGGACCAAGTTGCTCCATCCAAACTGGCCTAAAACCCTTCCAGGGATGGGGCATTCACAGCTTCTCTGAACAACACTGGAAGCTCTTTATGGGCTGTCAAGAATTTAGAAATAAAACTGAGCCAGTGTCAGAGGCTTAAAAAATTTAAATGGCACAATACACCAATTATGTTTTGAGTTCTGGAAGAGGTCTGAGCTCCCCAGGAATGGTTCAGCAGAAAGGATGGGAAGAAGCAGCCCTGGAGCCGGGAGAATGGGGCAGGGAGTGCAGAAGGCAAAGCTGTCCCCAGGATATGGATGTTTCTCACCTTGGCTGTTCCCCACGTTGGCTGCAGGCCAAGGAGGCAGGTAACGAGCTGGCACTAACGAGCTCCCTGTCCTTTCACTCCAGTGCTAATCTCCACCCTCCAGGACAAAAAAATAGGAATGAAAAAAATAAAAATCAGGTAGCACAATGCCGCCTGGATTGTTCAGTGCCTCTGCAAACTGGGAATAAGTCTCTCACGCAGCTGTGATTTGGCACCTCGGTCCAGAAACCCAGACTGCCAAAATAACTCTGGACCCCTCCCAGCCTGGTTTTCTGTTTTGTTTCAGTTCGTTCTCCTCCCTCCCCTAACGAGGACCGCTGCCCTCCATCCCTTGTTCTCACTTTTATTGACCATTTTAATAACAATGCCTTCCCGGCTCCGGCAGCAGCGCCCCGGCTCCCTGGAAAGCCATTCCCAGGGGCATTGAACGATTCTCAGAGCATGCTCCATGAAAGGGCTCTGACATAATTACCAAAGGCACTGTGTCATTTGCGCACATGGCTCACAGGCAGCTCCAAATAAGCTCCTTCTGGGGGAGTGCGCTCCTGTTTTGGCAGGAGAAAAGAGGACCAAGTTGCCTGGCTACAGGTGCAAGGATTTTCTGGGTGCTCCGTGGTAAATAAAAGCTGTCCTGGGTCTCAGAATCTGCCCTGCCAGCTCAGGCTGGGCTGGATCCCTGCCTAAAATAAGACAAGCCCCAAAAGCAGCCGGCGCTGGAAGCCAGCAGTGATGCACAGCTCCAGGAAGCAGCAGCCTTCGGCAGGAATTTTGTCCTTAGGCAGAGGAAGGCGAACTTTCTGCTGGAAATAGATAGTCTTGGAGTTAATCGTCTGGGCTGTGGTTCAGAGCTGAAGTCACCTCCTTCTCCTGCCAAGGTCCTTCTGCCTGGTGTAAATCATTTAACCTGCTCTGGAGGAAGGAAGATTGCTCTTTTCTTGCTGCTTCTCCCTGTTTGCTCTCCAAATTCTCCTTGGAGGAGACTCCAAGAGCCCCCTCTCCATGCTGTAAAAGCACCTGAAGTGCAGGAGACCCCTGAGGCACTTAAAGCCACCCAGGAGAGGTGACTCAGAGCCACAGAAGAGTCTGGGCTGGAAGGGGCTTCAGCCATCCCTCTCCAATGCCAAGCCCTCCTGGCTGGAGCCTGGTGTTGGGCACAGAGCTGTGTCCATCCTGGGAGGGCACTGCCTTCTCCTCTGGAAGGAGATGCATTGTCCAGCAGCCAAGATGAACTTGGATCCTCCCCAGCCTGCTGAAGCCACCAACCCAAGCAGGAATATTCTCCCACACATCCCTGATTTTGTCTGGGGGGAAAAGACCGACCAGCCCCTAATAAAATATGATAAATAAAATATTGAACTGAGCTACAGCAGCTTCATGTTTAACAGCAAAGCTCTCAGCAGCTCCACTAAAAAAGAAAACCAGACACTCACCAAACAGAAAAAAACAGGGTTTCTACTGAAGCAAAGGGATTTTTTAATTATTCCCTCAGCTTCTAGCGCTCAAGGTATCACCAAAGCTTTTCTCCAAGACTGGCAGTGGAATTGCAGGAGTTTCACCAGCACCACAGGGTTCCAGTGGCCCTTTGCTGGAAGTTTATTTCCCGTCACTGGATTTCCAGTTGGGGTTGCAAACACAGTTGTAATGCTTCCATCTCGTGGTGAGATGTAGAACAGAAAAACGTGGGGAGCAACAGCATCCAAGTTTTTCTTGCTGACTCAAAACCTGGAAGGCCAAACCCTTCCCTGAGGGACTACAAAAGATGGAATATCTGACAATCAGAAAAATCTCTAACGCTATCGAAATTTTTCATTAATAGCTTTTTTTTTAATAGGAAAATACAATTTTCTTTTCAATTTGGCATGGAAGAAACATGAGTAGCTGCTTTTTTCCCAAAAACTGCTAAGTATTGAGCTGCTTATAATAAGCTAAAATCTACTTTTCAGCAGAGTGTTCTTTCTTTCTGCTGACAAATTCTGCAATCTGTCCTCCTACAGCATGAAGTAACAGCATTCACCCACCCTCCTTAATATTATATAATATTATATATATATAAAATTAATATGGTGTTAATATTTCAGGGCTCTGTTAGAGCATTATCCCATCACTTTGGGGCATCATTTTATTTCTTTTCACAGTAAATGAGGCACCTATTCTTAAAAATTAGCAGAAAAGCTGCTGGTGACACAAAACAGGCCTGGCTTGTCCTTTTGGGCACTGAGGGATGGTTCTTGGGTTAGAACCACCCTTACAGGTGTCACTGGGATCAGCTCTCAGTATTTACTAGCATCTCCCAGGTTGGACAGGACATCCTGGTCTAGTGGAAGGTGTCTCTGTCCATGGTAGGGGGTTGGAACTGGATGATCTTTAAGGTTTCTCCCAGCCCAAACTATTCTGGGATTTACATCTGCTTCCCTTCACCCAGCACAAAGCCAAGGTGGGTGCAGTAAAGGTGTGTGAGCACCACCACCAAGTGGCTCCAATGACACAACAGTCAGTATTCAGCATCAAACTGGCATTTTCCATAATCCACAGGGCATTTCCCACCCTCAGAGGGCACTTCCCATCACCCATGAGTCAGTACAGACACAGAGTGAATCCTACTGCTTTTGCAATTCCCCAAAAACTATTCTGTTCCCCCATAGCCCAGCTGCACTCACTCCTGCAAGGAACAGGAGAAACAGCTTTCCCAAAGCTCCTGGATTTCCCACCAAATGCAGCAGAGAAGGGGAAAGCAGGAGCACAAGGGTTAACAATCAAATATCCTTAAAGTAGGGAACGTCGTGCTCAAAATCAGCCGGAGTTTGATGTTGCTCTTTTGAAGTTTAATTATACCAAATGTTCTACAGGAACATGCCATGTTCTTGCCTATCTATTCTGAATTGTAAGTACCAATCAGCATGTAAATGATCAAATTAAATCCTTTAAGTTGTTTGCAAGAGCCAGAACACCTTTCTGGGAAGGAAGGGCTGAGCACCAGCAGCGTTTGGTGCGGTGCTGCTGCTCTCGGTGGGCTCCTCCATGATTGGCACTTCCACGAGGAAATTGGAGTGGAAAAAAATCCACAGCACTCCCAAGTTCTTGTGCTGTCATGGAAAATTGCTATCTAAATAGGGAAGGGTAATTTATTTCTCTCTAAAAGGTCATTTTGTTCTCATCAGTGATGGAGCTTGGCTGCTCAGATTAGAGCTCACAGCTCACGCTTGGACAGTGCTCCAGCTCAAGCCATCAATACCTGAAATTCGGAGAAGTGAGTGAAATTTAGGGATGGCTCAGCAATTACTGCAAGCACCACCCCTGCCAGAGCTCAAAGATTGTTTGGACAATACTTTCAGGCACGGGGTGGGATTCTTGGGGCTGTCCTGTGCAGGGCCAGGAGCTGGCTCGGTGATCCTCATGGATCCCTTCCAATTCTGGATGTTCTGTGATTCTGCACCGCTGCTGACCTGGGTATTTGGGAGCAAAAGATGACAAGGGTGAAATGCTCTTCCTCTAAAGAATTACAGAGGGTGGGAGGAACTGAAAAAACCAAGCCTGCTCCTCATGCATCATTCCTGGAAACCTTTCTTTTCCATAGATAAATGTTGGCCCAGCTTCTCTCACCAATCTCCAAAGAGCAAAAGTATTCACCAGGCACAGATATTGTATTAACCCTGTTTCTCCTCTGATTCAGAACATAAACCAACACAGAGCTATGCAAGCAGTAAACTGGAAAAATTTTCATTTCTCACAGGAATCTGGTAAGCAAAACTTCCTTCTATTTTACTTCTTTCAAGCCTGCTCAGAACTGTAGATGTGTTTAAAAACAAAGGACTCACCCCCAGAATGCATAAGAAAAATCACAAAAATGCTTCTGTCCTTTCAAAAGAGGTAGGGAAGGCAGTGGTGGTGGGGGGAAACACTGAGCAGTTTCAAATATTTACACTCTGGACCACTGACAATGGGGGAGACAAATTCCTGACTTTGATGAAATCTCCCAGAAAAGAAAACACGGGAAAACCAGACCTCAGGATGGACAGAGTGAAGCCCAGTCAGTGACATTTGCTCAGTAAAGACCTTTCCCAGCACGTGTGGAAGTCACAAAGCCCTGAACAGGGCTGTGCCTGGGATGGCTCCTTGCTTTGCCAGGAGCTGGGTTGGGGGGAGTTTTTCCCTTGGTATTTTTCCTATTCGTTGGAATGCGATTTGGGATCGAGACCTTTTTTTTAAGTTAAAACAACAAGATTTTTTTTGTCTTCCGAAGGGAACACCACCAGCAATAAGCAGGCTGTGGGGAAAGCAGCCTGTGCGTGGTCCTGTGCTCCCTCTCACCTCCTTCCTGGAGCTGCAGGTGTCGCTCCCGGCCACCTCCACCAGCAGGCTCTTGTGCCGCAGGATCAGGATCTCCTTGGCCTGCTCCGTGGGCTCGCTGTCCCCGGGCAGGGTGTGCCTGTTGTACGCCGGGCCCTGCAGGGACACACGGAGGCTGCTGGACACGGGAGCATCGCTGCCCTCCCGCAGGATCCTGCTCCCCCTGCAGCCATCCCGCCCAGCCATGGGCATGCACTGGTTTAGGAGGGGATGGAAAGAGCCACGGAAGGGAGATGGGACTCCAGACTCTGGGTTTTTATGTGAAGTCAGCCAAGAACTCACTGAATGACAAGGCTGAGTTACACCTGGTACCCAGTTACACAACGAGTGCAGTGACTCTGCTCCAGGTGCCTTCACAGCCTCAGCCCCCAATGTTCTGTATTAACCCCACCTTCCCGTATAAATCACTGGGAACCATAAATCCTCCTTCAAAAGCCACCACCCAGCCAAGCTGAAATCTCCCACTAACACCAGTGGGAGCTGGGATAATGCTGTCCCTACAAGGGGTGAGGCTGGATAAATGCAGGACTAAGCTCAAACTGGAGCTGTGCCTTCATCTTCATCCCTCCCCTCCACCAGGTCCATAGGTTTCTTCCCAGCCTTATCCCATTGTTTCCCTCAGCTCAGCAAAGGGACAGGAGGGGGAGGCTGATCCCTCTATGCTGAGCTGCCCACATCAGCCCCACCCCTAAGGACTCTGTATTTTGTGTGTAATCCATAAAACAAAGGCCAAGGTGGATTTTAAGGCTAAGTCTCCCTACAAACAGCAATTCCAGGTGCTGTGTGAAACCCCAGACATGATCCATGATTCTGTAAACAGCAAGTGGGGTTTATGCCCTGTAACCACTGGTACGAGTTCCATGGCAAAACTGCTGGGTGGATTTAAAAGCTCTGCAGATTAATTCCCACTCACAGCTCTCTTCCATGGGGAAAAATGTACCATGAGGATAACTCCATCCCTGCTCTGCCCTAGAGCTGCTGCTGGATCTGCTATAACCCAGTGCCTGAAGTTCCACGTGCTCCTCCTTTCTCCTTTTCCCTGCCGGGTACCGATGCCGAAAATATTCCATGAAATTATAGGCTGACTGGGTGAACCTTTCAAAAGCTGTCAGGCAGCAAACAGAAATGTGCCACTGACTTGGAAACTGGATCTGGCTCCACACAGCCAACTATTCTCTCCTCACAAAGAGACATCCTGGGTAATTATGGAAATATTCATAACATCTGCTCAGGCTGTTCGGATAACCGAGGAAATTTGTGTCATTGGACACTTAAAATATGGATGGAGGGAGAAGTTGTACCGTCCTCCTGATCCGGTACAGGTTCCTCGCCAATATTTCCTGCATGTTGTCCAGGACATCAGGATTTGGAGTGTCCTCCAGTTTTTGGTCTGTTATGACAGTCCTGTCGCTGCTGCTGCAAAGGAAAGCAGAATACCTTATTTTGGAAGATGCACAAGAAGTGCATCCCCAAATCTCAGTGCCCCTTTGGGATCCCACCACAGCCAACGTGGCCAACAGCTCATCTCTGCAGATGGAGCTCGTGGCAAAGCAGGAATTTGGCATTTGCATCTGGGCTGTCCATATGCTCCCTGGTGGATAAAAGAACCGTGGGGAGCTGTGGCAGAGCAGAACCATCTGTGAGGCCTGAAGTGGCCATTCAGAACATTCAACAGTGCACACCCATCCAAAATTGGGCAGGAGCCTCTTCCTCAGAGCGCCACTTCCCTGTAACTCGTGGGGATACAGGTGGCCCTCCACGTGCCACCATCAGAGCCGGGGGATGCTCACCCATCCCACCATTTTTAGCCCCCAGCTGCCGAGTTTGAGCTGGAGTTTGCTCACAGGAAGGAGGGGTGGGCGAGGCCGTGGCCCAGCTGCCCAGCCTGGGCCAGCTCCATGGCGTGCTTGCGCTCCAGCTTCTCGTAGAGCAGCACGATGCTGGACTTGGGCTGGTCGTACTCCCTGAGCAGGATCTTCTGCAGGTATTTGCTGTTGAAATATTCCAGTCTGTTGGAGAACAAAATGAGATGGGGTTAGCCTCTCCCCTGACTCCCCAGCACCAACAGACCTGAGCAAGGCAGCAGGGTCACAGCCCAGGAGTGCCCCAAATTCCATTAAATTCCATTCTATCCTATTAACTCCTCCTCAGAAATCGATGGTCCAAGAGGTCAGTCCCTAATTATTTCTGCATTACAGTGCATGAGTCAAAATATTAAAACTTCACTAATTAGAATAAAAACTCCCCAAAAGTGCCAGATATATCATGAACTCTTCTAGAAGTGCTACATCTGCAGTAGCCACAGATTTCAACACTCCTAGATTCCCTCTTAAGCCATTTCCTCTTCTTTTCTGCTCAAATCGTTGAATAATTTAGGTTGGAAAAGACCTCTGAGATCATCAGTCTCTCTAAGATCTGCTCACAAGGAGCCAGGATGCTCCTCAGAAGCAGTGTCTCCCATACCCTCTAGTGGCACTTCCAAGCATGGACATTCCTACAAAATCTACCATCTGCATCTGTGTCTGGACCACCAAGGAATTAAACCTGGTAGATAATATTTTTAGTATATTTTATGGTATTTGTATTTTATTTTTAAATCCTGATGCATTTTTTTTAAATTTTAAAATGTACAAACTCCCAGAATTTAACGAAAATTGAACACTTTGCTACAGAAATCTGTAGAGATTGTCTATAATTTCAGTCCACAACAAGCAGTTCTGCAAACTCAGCTCTTTAATGTTAATTGTGCACAGCCTGGGACAGCCTGCGTGTCATGGCCACGGCATTTCCAGCAGATTTCTTTGGGCAAGAAGGGACAAACACAACAGGAGAAGAGAAAGGATCTTTTTAGTGTGATGCACAAGAGGTGTCTGCAATCAGGGAAGTGCCCTGAAAACCTGGTGTCCCCTTGGACAAGGAAAAGCTGTTCCTCTGTCCCCTCCCTCGTGCCACGAGGATGAACAAGGCCCAGCTGCCCACAGCAGAAACTCTGGGAATAAAAACCAACCTCCTTTTTTTCCTACACGTGTACACAGTTGTATTTTGGCAAATCCTTACTTGTCTTTCCAGTAATACTGTCCCCAGTGTCCAGATATATCTTCAATGCCAGCCAGCAAGTGATCCAAGAACTGAAGAGGAGAGAGGATTTCACTCTACGCTGGTTGCATACCTGATGAACCCAGCCAGCAAACAGCAAAAGCCACACACACACAACAGGGGATGCTTCCAGCCCGGGATATGAGCTGGGAAACAAGGAGAGAAGGCACTGGGATCATTCTCCATCCACTCATCCATTGGTGCTGGAGTGGTTTGCTTTCAGGTGTGGGCAAGCAGAGGATAAATGCTGAGGTCCATGAATCTGCTCTCTGTGATGGGTACAGGAGGGCTGATGGCTCCCATGTTCTGGGCCTTGACCAGCAGGAAAGGCTCATTTTGGGGTTTTTGAGGACAATTTGTCTCAGGAAATCACTATTTTCAGGATACAAATGTAGGTAACACATAAATGTTAATCTTGAATAATAAATACTGCCTTCCCCCAGACACTTCCCACTAAATAAAATCATCATATTATACTTTATATAAATACATTATTATTGTTTAAAATTATATTAAAAATCCCAGCCTGGCTCAAAGTTAAATCCTTGTAATTTCCCAAACTGCCTTCCCTCCTAGTGGCATCTCTAAACTGGGAGAGGGCTCTGCTCTGCTGCCCTCCACACTCGGGTACCAATGAACCTGGAACTTTCTACAGCTCTAAAATTTTTTTAAACTATCTTTTTTGGGGGTCAGAGACGGAAAAGATTCAGAGCAGCTGTCTCAGCCCTGCAGCCTGGTGTGGGTTTAGTGCCCTCACATGGCTGCTGGCAGCTGTGAGTTCCACAAACACGACATTGGAGGGAAGCACTGAAGTGTCCCATCCCTGGGAGTGTCCCAGGCCAGGCTGGACAGGGCTTGGAGCAACCTGGGCTAAGGGAAGGTGTCCCTGCCCATGGCAAGGGGTGGAATGAGATGAGTTTTAAAGTCCCTTCCGACCCAAACTACTCTGATTCTCTGGAATTACACACACACTCTGATCATTGCTCCTACGAGCAGGAATATCCCAGCTATCCAGATGGCAAAATAAATTTAAGGAAGAAAGCTGCTTCTGGCTTCTGCATCCCTGATTTCCAGCTATCTGCATTTTTACCTTCTCAACTTAATTGGTGCATGGCCATTTTCAGCTCACACCTCCTAATAAACACATTTCTGACATGATTTACCATTCACACCCTAACAAAAGAACAAAGTCTTCTCTGTTCACAACTGGAAAAGGATCCTCAGCCTCCTGAGCTGTTGTGTTAACCTCAGACAAAGCCCTGCAGTCCAACCCCATTGTGAGGATGCCAAACAGGTTTTACAAATGTCCTCAGCCCCAATGGCTTTATTGCTAAAGAAACAATGACAATAATATTCCTGAAGGAGCCATACCCACAGAAACGTGGCTGGGATTGAACAATTAGATTCAGAAATATATTAATTTTCCATTGGATGCAGATGCATCCAATGCAAAGGCTCAGCTGAGTGGGAGAGCAGCTGATCTCATGGAGCTGAACCTCTCCCTGAAGTCCTCTATGACCACAAATACCAACATCTGGGTGGTGAGAACAAGGGGAATGAAATCCCACCTTTGAGTTATGGATGTAGAATTACAGAATGGTCTGGGTTGGATGGGACCTTACATCTCATCTCATTCCAGCCCCTGCCATGGGCAGGGACACCTTCCACTATCCCAGGTGGCTCCAATCCCCATCCAACCTGGCCTTCAATAATTTCAGGGATGGTGCACTTCAGAGGTTCCCTCCAATATAGCACCAACCTCATCCTCCCTTTCCTCTTTTTTTTTTTGCAAAAATATCTGAACCAATGGTGGTGATGGGACAGGAGAACACATGGAAATTCCTAATCCTGAAAGAAACCAAGCCTCATTTTCTTTCCTTCTCTCATTCCAGAGAGCAGAGAAATTGGACTTAGGTCACAGCTTAAAGTTTTGGGCAAGAAATCATCTTTTTCTCTCATGTTTGTGCATTATCTTATGTTACATCAGCCTGATTGGTGGCTGCTCTTCCAATGCAAAAAAAGCCCACGGTTAAGAAGCTGAACAGGACTTCCAGCATGGAAAGGGGCTGACCTCCCGAGGATTTGGGTAAAGCTGCAGATCTGCAGGGTCCCTGGAGACACACACATTCCAGGAGATCTCAGAAGGCTCTGGCCACCTGCTGATGGAGGCTCCACTCACCCGGATGTGGATCTGCTCTCCCACGGTGGGAGCACTCTCCCTTTTCCTCTTGACAGCCAACAGGTCAACGAGGGGACGGATGGTCATTCCCTGCAGAGTAACCACCAACACAGAAATCAGCCTTTCCTCACACCCAATTTTCCTCCCCTGGAACAAAAGCCACCAGTGCGGGGCTGAGCCACAGCGACCCTGTCCTGGTGTTCGAGCAGCCTCCCTCACCTGCCCTGCTTTCCTGGCAGGATAAAACCTGCACAGCTTCAACAGGACTAGAAATTGTTCTCCCGGGTGTACCCCACACACTCTGATTGCTCCTGGTAGGAACCTGTCAATGGGAACTCACAGAGAGGCTTCAGGGTGGAGGGAAGAAACTTCCGCTCGCCTCCTCCGAGGCCACAAAAAGCCAACCAATAATTCCAAGGTCAAGCCTGTGGTTTGCTGCTGCTCGTGGCCTCCCAGATGGAAAGGGGCTTGAAATGATCCAAGTTCAAATGCCTGAAATGGGGATAATCCTTGAGAGTTCTCAGCACGGAGCCTCCGCCAGCAATTGTCTGCTCGCTCCTTAAGCGCTGTGTGTCACACACCATTACTCCAGCGATCTCTGATGGCCAGCCAGGGGCTAAGTTTCCTAATCAAAGCATCCACCTGGTGGGAAGGGTCAAGGAAAAGTTTTAATATCTCTAAGACTCGTGAGAGAACTAAAAAGCTGCTGTGGTGTGTTTCTTAGTCCGGCTTCCGTATGAAATGACTTTTCTAGGACATGTTTACAGCAAAAATGATGGAGTAGTTGATGTTTATGACTTCTGAATGTCACAAGTGCTGGCACAGAGAAGAGTTGAACACATTTTTAATTGCAGAAACAATTAATGTGTCATTTTAATAGCTAATAGCAATAAAAAATGGGTCGCTATTCAGAGTCAATAACACAGAACTCACAAATTCCAGAATAACAGATAATACAAAAATTAAGCAGAGACTGTGCAATTTGGCCTCTTGCCTTCCTAGATAATCAGCTGCAGTTGTTTCCATTTTAAAGCAGCATTTGGGACTGTTATGGGAATCCCATGTGTCATTCCAGGCCACACATCATTTCCCAGCACACCTGCAGGTCCCCTGTGCTGCTCCTCCACCCACCAGGGATAACTCATCCCAGGGAGTGTCTGACCGCTCCATCACAGCTCACACAATGTTTTCCACCTCTGGAAATCTAGTGGGACAGTGCAGGCATCAAACAACCTCCCCCCTTCACAATTATTACATTTGCTCAGAGTTTCATGGCAGAGGTCAGGGGCCAGTAAGTTGAGAGAGTGAACTTCCAGCAGTATTTGATTTTAAAACCACACCAAGAGGCAGAACAATGAGGTGGGGTTTGTGACATTCCAGACAAGCCCAGAGAGCTCCCTGGAGAACTGCCTGGTCTACGTGGCACATAGCCAGCCTGCTTGGAAGCACTGAGGAATTGACAATGGCTCAGTCAACCTTCCCAAAATGATTAACCAGGCTTCTTGTGGGAAGAGCCTTATGCAACTGGGTTAGGAAGGCCAGAAGAGAGGAGTTTCCTGGCCTGTGGAATGCTCTGATAGAGCCACGGGCAGCCAAGCCCAGCTGTTCACAGGGTGGTCATTCCCCTGTGGCAGGAGGGTTTCCAGCCAGCAGGGGCAGGATTTCCACGGGAATCATAGGATGTGGAGGGTTTCAGCTCTGACAAGATGGCCCAAACCAGCCTAGGAGGGCCCAAATCACCTCTGCCTTGGTTTCTGTCCTATTCTAACACAGACACTCCCCAACAAGTCTATATAGGGATATATATAGAGAATATATGTGAATATAGAGAAAACATTTTGCATTAAAAAAAGAACAAGAAATGTCCACTATGCACAGAACTTGTTTCATAGCCAATATTTCTCTACCCTTTCCACACAGAGTGACCATGAAAGACGCTGGGATGGTAAAAGTATTTCCTCCCCCATTGATGTGTCTGGCAGCAGCACCACAAACTTGATTTGCCAACCCAGGTTTTTGAAGGTTCTGTTACATTTACCCACCTTTTTCTGTGCTGAGCTGCAGCAATACCTTTCTGCCTCAGGTTTTAAGTAATTTTCCTGGTTTTTCCTCCCCCTGTTGTCGTGGTGGCCCTGGCACTGCAGGTCCCTGGAGCCCAGCACTGCAGACAACGTTCCCGAATGGGTGAAGGTCAGGGGCGACACGGGGACCCTGGGTAACTCTCACCCTTTTGCACAGGGATGACATCACCAGCTGAGCTTTGAGGTTACACAAAAGCCTTTTCCCAGCCCCAGGAAGGATTTCCCAAAGCCTGGAGTTGCTGCCTTAGAACAACCTTTGTGTGAGGCTCAAGAGCTGCTCTGCGTGAGGGACGTGCCTGGGGACCGGGGCTTTTCAATTTCTCACCCACATTTGCATCTTAAAACTTGTCAAGCTCCACCTAAGCACATCCCCCAGCCGGCCTGGCCCCTTCTCTCTCCTTTCAGGCTGAGGCTGTGCCCAGTCCCTCTGCCCTGCAGCTCCCAGCTCTGATCCCATTGGCACAACACACTCTGATCCGTCCTCCACCACTTCACCAGCTCAGGACGAGGATTTGGGTGGATGTCCAAATCAGCCCCAACCCTCCACATTTGGGGAAGCAAAATCAACCCCAACCCTCCACATCTTCCCAGTGCTCGACACCCACCTGAGGGGTTCAGTCAGGAAAAGCAGAAGGAATTTGGTCTGAGGGTGATGCTCAGCCACGGGGCCACTCAGAGCTGCCACCACGAGCCACCATCTCCCAAAGGCCCAGAAACTGCTCTGCTCCTGGGCAGCAGCTCCACATGGACCTCATGTCCCTGACCAGGAGCTTGTAGGGAGTTTTTCTACATGAGATCTTTCCCAAACCTCTACATCCCACTCACTTCAGTCCTGTGGAGAACCACTCTTTACTTTTTGGGATAAACAGCAGGTGGACATCAGCCTTGCTCACTCCAGCACCACACAACCCCAATTTTTCCACCACAGCTTCCTTCAAATGTGGCTGTGTTTGCCAGATGAGCTAAGAGCTGAACTTCAGAGAAGCCCTCAGAGACCTGCTGCTGGTCAGAGAAGGGCAGGGACACATCCAAGTCCCTGATCCCACAGAAAGCTGCAGGAATGGTTTTACCACTAGATGTCACAGCAATGCTGAGAGCTGCTGCTCCTCCCGAGCCCTGGAGCACCACAATTCCTTAAAATTCAGTGTTGGAGCGCCAGAACTTACAGCCCCAGGGTGAGGGAGAGGAACCTTCTCCACCAGGCTCCTGGAGGGGACCCAGTCCTGAACCTGTGCCCCGTACTGGTTTTACCTGCACGAACACGGTGAAGAGGATGACGACAGTTGTTGCTGCAATGAAGAGCTTTTTCCTGTGGAAGTCAGGCAGCAGGAAAACCAAAGAGAAGCAAATGGCCCCTCGGAGCCCCCCGTAGGCAATGATGAACTGGTCCTTACTGGTGATGGTGTTCACGTGAAATCTGTTCACAAAGAAAGTCAGCACAAGAACCCCTGAAAAGCAGGAAGGTAGATTGAGGCGCATCAGTCAAATAGAACAGTTAGAGAAAACTCATGATCTTACATTTTCCAGTAAAACATCATGGAATTGGTAAATACCAACTACAAGGAACTAGCCAGGGCACAAGGGGGTATATTCCCCACATGCTACTGGAGAATTTTTCTTCCAGTCTGATCTAACAGGTTGAAATTTGCTTTGTCCCGATAAAACTTAATCCCCAACATATTTCTAATTTGAGAGACTACAAATATTGACCGGCTACAGTCCTGAAATATTAATTGATTTATTCTAATTGGTGATAACAAATGACTGAATTCCTGAGGCTAGAAATGCTTTTGAGGCAAATCAACAGCAACAATTTAACCACGAATTGCCCTCCCATTTGCCAAAGTTTCCAAGCAGTAGCTTGGATAAGTAGCTATATTGCACCTGCATTAATCTGCGTTAATGTTATTTCTTTCCCTCAGATTTATACTATACAAATTGAAGGCCACGTGAGGTGACACAGCAATTGCTGTGATTTACAGCCATTTGCAAATGCACAAACAGATGCAGAGAGGTACAAAAGTCAGGCCTTAAATCAGTAGGCCGTGATTTTAATCCCAATGGAGGTGATAAACATCCCATTTCTCAAAGATTAACAGCCATTTGAGAGCTGACGGCACCGCCTGTCACTGACTTTGGTTAGGAATTAGCTGGAGCCACAGCACTGTTGCTTTTCTAGAGGGTGTTTGTAAAAGAAACAAAAACAGTGCATTTATTATGTACATATCAAACATCTTCCCACACACCTCCAGCTAAAAATAGCTGAACTTTTACTGTACATTGGAGGAGTGTGAAGAAAACAAAAAGCTGGGGATGTTTGGGAATAGGGAACTCAGCTAACTGAACCTTGTGGCACCTTCCCCATTTCTGGAGCTCTGCAGAACTGGTGCCCAGACCAGCAGACAGGAAACACTTGGGTGTCAAGGTTCTTTGTAACTTAAAAAATAAATAAAACAAAGCCTCCCACAGATGACATCCACCCCTACTCTACAGCTCAGGCAGTGCCGATGATTTAAAGGAACAAAATTTACTTGAGCTGATATCCTGGCCTTTGTCTTAATTTAATCCTTCCTCATAAATTATTATTAGCATTCCCTAAACTAATTCAAGGCCAGTTTGCTCCAAGAGATGACATACAATTAATCATTCGGAGCAGAATGTATTTTCTCCTGCAGATACCTTGGGAAAGAGCAGGAGGAAATCTCCCCAGGGCTTGGCTATCAGCAGAGCCCCGGTGCTGCCATGCAAGGGCTCTACTTTCCTTTTTAGATGATCTTCCTCATACCAAAGGAATTCCCCAGGTTTCAGCAGAATCATTTCTCAAACATTTAAAGCACTGAGAGTGTTCTAGGAAGGACTGGGGTACAGTTTACACACCAATCCCAGCACTGCCCACCCAAAAATCCCCAATTCCTGCAGGGAAATGTGGGGGCACCTCCCTTTTCTGGATCAGAGCCTCAAGCACCTCCAGAATCCTGGCACTAAGATTGGAAAAGTCCTCCAAGATCACCAGGTCCAACCATTCCTCCAGCACTGCCAAGGCCACCACTAATCCATGCCCCCAAGTGCCACACCCTCACATTTTTTGAGCACTTCCAGGGCTGTTGTCTCCACCACTGCCCATTCCAATGTTTGGCAACCCTTTCCACAAAGAAATCTTCCCTACTATCCAATTATTAATTAATCATTAATTAATCCAGAGCTGCTGGATGGCCCGGAGCAGGCCAAGGTCTAATCTCAACCACCATCTCCAAGGCAGGAGTTTCCCTGGCTTGTGCAGCCCCTTCCCAGTTCTCATCCTCCCAGCTCCCTGACAGCTTCCCAGAAAGGTGCTGCAGGACAGGAACACCCTGGTCAGGACCACTCAGACAATCTCCAGCCCTGGTTTGTGTGTTCTTGTTTAATTCCAGGGAGATTTTGACTGGAAAAGGGGGGCTGCAGCCTGAGCCCTTGCCTAATAACATGCTGCATAATTTAAGCTGCTCTCAGAAGGGCTGTGCTTAGAGAGGATTTTTGGGGTACTTTTGCAGCATTGCTATGTTCTTCTATCTTGCAATGAAGATTTTTTGAGCTAAAAAAAAAAAAAAATCAAACTCACTGAGAACTCCTTTCATCTGAGCAAATAATTTAAGAGAAACCACTTAATGGAAATAAAACACTCGAATGTACAAAAAACTGACTAATGAGCACATTTCCAAGACTGGTGCACAGTTATTAAAACAAACTTTGGCATGTCCTAACAGCTAATAAACCCCATTCTGCTCGGCCTTGCTAATCATGGCCTAACCTATTTAAACAATTTCTTGAAGTGTCTGTCAAATTCGAGTTCACTGCTTGACTTACTGGTTTGTAAACATAAATCCTGCTGAACGTTTTTAAGCTCTCGAATTCTTTTCCAAAAATGTGTGCTGTTATTTTCCCAAATGTTGTTAAGATATAAAAATACCCATAACTGAGGCACTCTGCACTCATTAGGTGCCAAGCACTGCAAGAGGAATGGAGGTCCAGCCTCTCCCAGCACGGAATCATCACAAGATGCAACTGAGGAGAAAGGAAACAAAGCACATCTATTTTTTCTGGTAATTTTCAATGCATGAAAATGGGATCCCAAGGAATCCTGGAACCAGCACTTGGGTTTGCATTGTAATTGTGGCTAAAGAAACTGCAGAGATGAGTTATCAGGAGAGTATTTTCCTGCCTTGCTCCTCATTATCACCAAGCCTTGGTCTCTTTATTGCTGTGAGGTTGGTCACACACCCCGATGAGTTTTCCAGGGATGCTGTAGACTCTCCATCCATGGAGATAACCAAAAGCCATCTGGACACAGTCTTGCCTGCCTGCCCCTGCTCAGGCAGGGGGTTGGAGCAGATGATCTCCACGGGCCCCTGCCAACCTCACCAATTCCCCAGCTCTGCCACTCTCAACCCTGACCTGAAATTCTCGAGTAGGAGCAGGAGCATCCTCACAGTTTAGGTCCCAATCTCGTCTACCCAGGACAGCTACTGGAATGTTCCTCCAGTTTCCCAGTGAAGGATGCTGCTGTACACCAGCTTGTTATGAATTAAATCCCTTAAATTCAGAGGATTTTCATGGATCTCTTGCCCCAAGGTATGTGCCTACAGATTTCCTCCTGTTGGGAGAATACCAAGGGACTAAAAAACACTGAAATGGAAGAGGAGATTGTGGCAACGAAGGAGGGTAAAGGAAGATCATGGCAAAAAAGGGACATTGATAAAACAGATCTCATGAGAGCTTCTATCCAGCACCAGTGAGTGCACAGAGCAGGGAACTGCAGCAAAATGCAAGATTTGGAATCAAGTGAGATGGAGGAGCAGGAAGCATTGGCTGGGAAGTCCCAGTCCAGTCCTAGCATTCCCATCAGGAATGATCACACTGCAGAGTGAGGAGGAAAGGAGGATGGAGGGGCAGAGCACCTTCTCATCTAATGGAATCTCGTTCCTCACTCCCATAAACAATAACACACATGAAAAACAAGATCTACAATTTCCCCTACCAAGTGCTCTCCAAACGAGACAGAAAATAACCGTGAAGCAAATGTAGGGCCAGTTCCACTCGTGGTTTTCTCCGATGGTGGAAACTCCGAGGAAGATGAAGATGAGGGTGTCACTCACACTGCTCCACATCTTCATGAAGTACTTGACTGTGGTGTGGGACTTGAGGGAGATGTTGGCCTCCACGTAACGCTTCATGCCCATGGCACAGGAAATGATGCTGAGGAAGTGAAAATTAAACAACAGAAAATAAATAAGTTTGAAAAATGAAAAAAAAAAACCCAGTTTTTCTACTTTAACACTGAAAATCAACACATCAGTTACGAAAAAAGGGGATTTCATCAAGTCTTGGATGTTTGCAGACATTTCACTGAGGGCTGAGTCACTTCCTGCATCAGTCCAAGAGTATCAGGACCACTAGGACAATAAAATACTTCATAGGTTGCCCAAACTGACCAAATCTGGATTTTAAGAGATGAACAATTCATCACCTGCTGCATTTTATCAGAGCACAAAGCAACACCTCCAACTTACACCCAACTCTTCCCATCTTCACACACTGTTTCCAGTTCTTTAACTTTGCCAAACTCTGACCTTGCAATTGCCTGGCAATTTTTCATGGATAATTGGTTCTTCAGGTTCCAGGGAACATGGCATTAGCCTAATTCATCAGCTTTTCGAATCAATTTATTTTCAGGCCAGCAATCCTAGGAGGTCAAAAATCAATACATTTTCAGGTCAGCAATCCTAGGAGGTCAAAACAATTTAGCGCTCAAAGTGCTGAAGCTCTGTTTTTTATATTTTAATCTGGACCAAAACATTTTTGTTCTAAATATTGCAGCAGGAATAGAAAAAGGGCTTTAAATTTCCAAGACCTGACTTGCAGTGCTGTTTGGTAAAGCCATCCATATTTTTATTGCACTGAAAACTGATTCCACAGGAAACATCACAATGTTGGATCACAGCAAAGCCAAGAGAGAAGCAGATCCTTGGCTTGTCCCTGGCTCTGGGTGTGACCAGGACACGGAAATGACCCAAACAAAGGTGTTGAGAGAGGTGGTCGCTCACCCAGAACTATCAACTAGGAGATGCTCAGAGAACTGCAAGGCAAGTACTGCTTTGCACTGAAAATACCCTGTTTAACCCCAGAATTTCACTAACATTTTGCATTATTTTGAAGACACAAACATTTGGGTCTGTTTGAATTTAAAATGGGGCTTTAGGGAGAGGATTTGCGGCAAAAGCAGAGGATAGGAAAGGTCAGAACTGGGAAAGTCATGATGCTTTCGCTGAGGAATGGGATCCTCTGTTATCCAGCAGCAGGAGACCAAGACTGAAGTCCCTTTTTCACCAAATGCTTGAGTTCACATCTTTCATCGCCTAAGAAAATGTACCAGTACATAAAAATATTCTAATACAGATCTGGTTTGATTTATCCTTTTTAGGTCTGACCTGCTTTGCCAGAAAGAGCAACAGGGACTGAACCACAGACTGAAAAAAAAAAAAAATAAATAAATCCTTCTGCTTCTGTGTCTGCCTCAATAAATAGTGGGGAATATAGATATGGTCAAAAACTAAGAAATCCAAGTACTTATGGGCAAGTGACTTCCAGAGCTGTGGTTTGGGGGAATGCTTATTGGAGAATGGACATGGGATCACAACATGGTCACAGAAAGAGAATAAACTTGTTTTGTCTTGGCTAAAGATGGACATTGCCACCAAGGCAAGGGGCAGGGGAAAAGAGAATAAGAAAGAAAAAAATCCAACTAAAATCCATTTGCAGAACAGTTTCACAGACTAAGCTGTATTCAGATTTTTTATATTTTTCTGGAGTATGTAGAATTGATTTTTTTGGCAATCAAATTATTTTTCAAAGAAACAAACTGCCAAAAGCTGCTTCTTATAATACAGTATTCCCTGGCCACAACAGAAAGAATTGTTTTGAACTTCAGATCTATAAGACAGGCATTTATAATTTGGCAATTAGAAGGGCACAGTGCAGGAATCAGCTGCCTTTGCCATTGTTTTGCTTCAGAAAAAAATGCATTATTCAAAAGAACAGCAAATGGGTTCCATAATGGGTACAGCAGATTGTGATTGATAGAAGGAGACACCATTAGGATTGAATGTTTTCTGCTCCATGATGATTATGCAGCATATTTATTTCACTGTTCTGTCTTGCACTCCTATAAATAGACTTTTCCTACCTATTCCCTGAGCTGGAATTGTTTTCAGCAACACTCAAATATTGCTCCTATTAACCAGCTGAGGAAACAAAATCTGCAAGACACAGGGACGGTTTATATCCAAAGCAACATCATTAGTTTTAAAATAGATCTCCCAGATACTTCTGTGCTGAGCTGGGAGCCCACTTCATTTTTTTATTTTCTTTTTATCTTCATTCTCATCAACTGCACAGTTTACACTGCAGCCACTGATGCAGGGTAGGTGCATTTTGGTGTCTTTGGGGGAATATTAAATGGTTGTGATCCTCAGCATCAGCTGACTCAGTTTGGGTAGGAGAACCACACTCAGTACCAGCCCACAGAATACAGGAGGGCTGGATCCCTCTGGTTTTCCTCTCTCTCTGCTTTCCAAGGTGAGATTTTTGGTGAACATTGGGGTCTTTCTGGCTATTTTTGTGTCAGCATCTGCTCTGACAGCAAGATGCCCGACGAGATAAGCACAAAGCTTAATTAGTCCCTTAAATCTGAAGGATCCAGCCCAAAATTATTGATTTTATTGAAAGATCTATCCAGTTAAAAGAAAATTAAATGAACTGAATGATCTCTGACAGCTTTGGCTGAAATTGGCCAGCAGATTCCCAATGTTACTGGAGACAGAGGTGTTGGTTGACACCTGAGGCCAGACATGAGTTGTGTCTGAGCTTCTGGAGCCAAGTCAGAATCTCCAAAGCAGAGGTCTCTATTAGAATCCTCTGTTGCCAAAAAGCAGGAATATTTCAAGCTTCAGTTCCTGTCCCATCACTCACTACCCTGTCACACCAAGGGTTGCCAGGCAGGACATGCAAATGGGGAAGGGGATGTGAGAACAGAAGTGCTGTAAACCAAGATCAAACCTTTCCAAGGAACTGACTAAATTCTCCTTGTAACTCTTCCCATGTTGGTTTTGACTAGGCCATGTGGAAAATAACAAAATAAGCTAAGAAACTTCTTCTGACTCTGCCAAACCTACCAGACACTGTTGGAACATCCAGCCTTTCCAAATAAAAACCATGGAGCTCAAACAAACTTTCCTCAATAACCTACATAAATCCACCATCAGCCACCATTGTGCAATTTGGGAAACAGAGTGACTGTTGGAGAGGGCCCTGTTCCTCATCAAACACAGATTTGCAAATTTTAAAATGTTTTTGGGTATTTTTCAGTGAATATAGGCAGGAAGCTTTCCTGGAGAGAGGAGGTGCAGGGCCTCACTTACGCCACGATCCCGGAGAGGTGGAACATCTCTGCAGTGAGGTAGGACAGGTAGCTGTACAGGAACACAAAGAGGGGCTCGATGACACGGATGTCCTTGGTGAAGCGCGTGGTGAAGGCAGCGGTGAACCCAAAACTCAGCCCCACCAAAACTCCTCCCAGACCAACCACGAAGAATTTTCCAACTCCAGCAAAAACATCCACGCTTTTGATGGTCGGCATCTCACAGAAAGAGCGAAAGAGCTTGTAGAGCACCTTGTGGGGGGAAGGAAAGAGGGAAACAGCTGTTAACTGGATGTGCACCAGATGTGGTCATGGCAGCAAATACACTGCTGGGATTTCTGCCAGTCATCTCCTGCCCAGGAGGTCTGGCTCCCACCAGGGGACTGCTGTGGCCCCCACGGACATTTCTGTCCACAGACACGGAGTCAAAGAGAAACCTGAAAACTTCAAAGTTCACCTGAATGCTGCCCAGGACCTCAGTCCAGAGATTTGGACCAGGAGTCCTCTGCTAGAAGAGGTTGTTGATGACTTTTCCCTCAACAAATCACAGAATCATTGAGGTTGAAAAAGCCCTCCAAAATCATCAAGTCCAACCAATAACCCAGCACTGCCACGTTCACCACCAAATCATCTCCCCAAGCGCCTTATCCACACGGTTTTTAAACATTTGCAGGTGTGATGACTCCACCCCTTTCCTGGGCAGCCTGTGCCAATGCTCGACTGCCTTTTCCATTAAGAAATTTTCCCTGATAGCCAATCTAAGCATCTCCTGGTGAAACTTGAGACAATTTCCTCTCATCCTGCCACTTGTTCCCTGGGAGAAAAGATCAACCCCCACCAGCTACGAACTCATCTCAAGGAGGTGTAGAGGGAAATAAAATTTTCCTTTTCTGCCTCCTTTTCTGCAGATCTTCCATCCCATCACTCCTGTAGAGGGAAATAAAATCTTCCCTGAGCCTCCTTTTCTGCAGATCTTCCATCCCATCACTCAGCACCATCCTCTGCAGGTTAAACACCCCAGCCCAGGCTGGTCCTTACCACAGTCACGGCATCGTTGAGGAGCGATTCCCCAAAAACCAGGATGTGCAGCTTCTCGTTGACGTGGATCTCCTCGAAGACAGCCAGCACGGCCACGGGGTCCACGGCGGCGATAAGGCTGCCAAACAGGAGGTTGTGCAGCAGGGACACGTCCTGCAGCCGGAAGGCTTTCACCTGGCAGATCCCATACAGGGAAAAGCCGATCCCAAACACGTTCCAGATGGTCCCCACCACCGCGTAGAGCAGGATGGTGCCGATGTTCTCGAAAAAGGGGCGGCTGGGCATGAAGTAGCCGGCGTCCAGCACGATGGGGGGCAGGAGGTAGAGGAAAAAGATGTCGCTGTCCATCACTGGTGGTGACCTATCATTGAATCCATAGATGATTCCCCCCATGATGAGTCCCACAAATATCAACAAACAGCTTTCGGGAACGACGGAAGGCAGCTTGTTGTAGAGGTGGAACCCTGCAGGGCACGGAAGGATAAATCTGGTGTTACCTCACCAGCCCAAACCCTCAGAAGGTCCCCATGCTCCCACTGTCAGCAGGTTACACCTCCAAGTAGCACAAATAGATTCATACAGTGAGGGTGAAGTTGCTCAGAAATTGGTTAGAAAATCTAAAATTTACTGAAAATTCCAAACTTTCTCCAATTACTGTCTGTTCAGACCTCATTTCATCATAGCATAAGGTTAGAAAGATATATTGAGGTAATAAACAAAAAGTAATAATCCACATAAATAAAACTATATTTGGAATTATTAATTATGTAATCTAGTCAGCAGCCCATCTTCAGCACTAACTGAAATAGCAATTTCTAATTTTAAACACAATACAGATTCTATACATTAAAAAAATCACAGAAACCCTTACCATTAATTATGAACAGATCCACTTTTAATACTATTTAATCATTAGCATTTAAAGCTAAACAGCTAAAAAACATCCAATCAAGCCTGTCTTGTGCAATGCCCAACATTAGAAAAATCACCACAAGTACAAGGTGAGTTATTAAAAGAAAAAGTCATTGAAACAAACCTAATTAAAATATGAATAAGAAATTTTAAAAATCTCTGATCATTATTATGTCTTCATGCATGTGACTAGAATTAGGGTCTCATTATGTAGCATGAAATTAGTGAGACAAAAAGACCCTTTCCATCTGAAAAATTCTGATCAAACCCAATCTTAGAGACTTCTACATTCTGAGGAAAAGAAATACAAGAAAAAATGCTGTAAAATAACTTTTATAGCAGTAATTTAACAGAATTGAAGATGATTCCTGGAGAAAAATATTTATATATAGTTTTCACTTTCCTGTGCCCAGTTTTCAGAGGAAAATATAAAAATGTCAGATACTTTGCATAATTTAATCTAGTTTAGATGACCTTGCACAGACAATCAATGCCCAGAGATTTTATTTTAGGCTGTGTAACAGCCTGGACATGGATGGAATTATTCCTTGGCCAGACACAGGGCACTTTTAGAAGAATAAGGAATCTTCATTTTAAGATGTAGATGTCAGTGGACCACCTGCACAGAGCGTGGCTGGCAAGGAAATCAAGGTGAAGACACACCTTAGAATGTCCTGCAGTTAAATCAAATTCCTACTCCTGGAAACCTGGTATTTTTCCTCCTAACAGCAACAGTGAATTTCTAGATGGAAAACCACCACTTCCAACCTAAAATGCAACTTATTTTCCACCTGTGCAGTGTCTCTGGCACACAGTGTGTGAATTCCAAGGGTTTGGCACGTTACCTCGAGCTCCAAACCAGAGCGGAGGTGGAGCAAAGGCCACACCACCTCCACAGGGATTCCCCGTCCCTCCTCATCCTCTCAGCAGGCCTCACCTATTTTGGCCAAGGACGCCAGCATGATCCAGAGCGTGATTTCAAAGGGCACCTGGACGTGCTGATAATCCAGGGAGAAGAAGGCGTGCTCCGAGGAGTGGTTGCCCTGGGCTTCCTCGGCAGCCCAGCTGATGTTCTCCAGCGCCGCGTCCTCCAGCAGCGGCTCCCGCAGGGCTCCCACCCGCGGGGCTTGGAGCGTGCAGGAGAGCCAGGAGCCGGCCAGGACAGCTGCAGCTCTGCATGCCCGGCTCTCCATGGCCCTGGAAGCCGCAGCTGCTCCCGCTCTGGTGGGTGAGCGGTTGGAAGCGCTGCTGGAGGCGCCAGAGCTCGTGGGGGCGGCTGCAAAGGGAGGAGCAAATGTTCCACCTCAGGCTGGGTTCCCTCCCTGGTCCATCAGCTTCCAGCTGGGAGAGCCCACTGGAGAGTGGTGCTTCTTGGTGCCACATGTCCAAATAGGGGCTCCTCCTGTGGATGCTTCATTGAGGAAATTCCTCAGGCCAATGGTACAACTCACATTTAATCCCAACTCTTGATGTGTTCTGGCTCCCAGTCCCTCACAAACCTCTCTTGGAGGGAAAAAAATAACCTGCACTGCTGTTAGAACAGACAGACTTGACAGAACAGGTCCCATAAAAAACCCCATCCCAAAACAGCTCTATCACACAGGGGGCTTCCCTGGATTTCTGCAGCACCCACATGAAGAACACAACACAAAAATTACTGGAAATCAGTTTTCATTTGGTGAAACAAGCAAATCACCCAGTTTGTTGGGCTAAATACAGAGCTGCAGGAATGGCAGGCACCTGTGTGGGACAAATGAGGCTCTACAATTGCTTAAAGTTTCCTATAAAAAAGATTAACAGGAAAAGTCCTTTTCAACTTTTTTGAAAACGTCATCAGACTGAATAGTTGGAAAAATGGAAAAATAAAGGTAGTTGCCACAGTGTTTAACAGATTTTAATAAAACTGTGGAGAAAAAAACGTATTGGGTCAAATTCCTCCATTGTGAAGCTTCATTCAGGCTGACGATGCTTCAAGAGGCACAAATTTAGCCCAAAGAACGCTGGTAATTAAAATCTGGGGCCCGGGGCTGTTGCCAGACGGATCGATGGCCTGTTTGCTGCCTTCAGCCGCCTAAGTGACACCAAAATGGAGCGCCAGTGACAGGCTGGTGACCCACTTCTGAGCTGTGGGGACCCAGGACACAGATCCTGGGCCTCAGCACCACGCGAGCATCGCTTTGTAAAGCACGAGGAGGACACATTTTGGGAGGCAGGAGGGATGCAGTGACACCCTCGAGGAGTGACTTCCTTCTGCTTTACCAGGGTTCACTTGGATTTCATAGAATCAGACAATGCTTTGGGTTGGAAGGGACCCAAAGCTCATCTCATTCCAATCCCCCCATCCTTGGGACACCCCCCACTATCCCAGGGTGCTCCAAGCTCCATCCCTTGGACACTTCCAGGAAGACCTGTGCCAGGGCCACGGCACCCTCACAGGGAGGAATTTCTTCCTAATATCTAACAAGACATCACTCATTACTCTGAAGAAGGCAGAACAGTGCTGTTGACAGCAATTAAGAAGTAATTAAGGAACTATTTAGCCAGAGGAAGAGCAATGGAAGCAGCTCTGAGCCTGGGCTCACATCCCAAGCCATCATATTTTCCTCTTTCTGTTGAAATATTGGGCGTTAAAGTTAAGGGTTTGAGAACTTGTTCCATTTGGCAGCATGGAAAAGGAGTTCTGCCAAGCTCCCATTCCCCTCCATCCCCAAATGATCAATTTTCTTTGCTAATCTCACCAAAAAAAAAAAAAAAAAAAAAAAAAAAAAAAGAAAGGCAAAAAGTTAATGGTCACCTACACTTTCCTTAAGCCAAAATCAAAGTGTTTGCATCTTGGAGGGGGAAAAAGCCTTGCAGTGGGGAGTTCAACAGCATTCTGGAAACTGGTTTTGTGTGTAGAATCTATATTTATTTAATAATGGAACCAGGAAAAAATCCAACAGAGCTGGGACAGAATTTGAGGAAGGTCAACAGGGAGGAGAATTTTAAAATATGCTCCATTTTTCAAAGAAAGCTGCCTTATAAAATCATTAAGGCTGGAAAGACTACTCTAAGACTACCAGGTTCATTATATATTACCTACAAATAAGCCAAAAGCCAAAGACAAAAGGTTTTTCCAAAGTTCTATGATAACAGAATTCGTGCTGCTCCTCTGGTAATGGCTATTGATATTATTGATCCACTTCTTCATGTGAGCACCATTTGATCCGATGCTTATGGACAGGCTTTCATTTTTTTCCCTAATGTAATGCTCTTCCCTACATTTTTCAGTCTCCAGGCTGGATTTTGATTCCCACAATTGTGCTGATGGGCACCTTGCTCCTGGTGGAATGAGGAAGACTGGGAAAAGAACAGAGTTGTTGTGGAATGGGATATCAGTGACCAAAATTCAGGCTCTTGCAATAAAAACATGACATTTCTGCATGTTTTTGCCCAGGGAACACCCAGCTCCTGACCACGGGCAGCCCCACAAGTACCACGGTGGATTATCCCTGAGGGAGCTTTGCCTTTCCCTAGGGAAACCCTTCAGTGTTGTATGCTGACCTGTGGGACAGATATTGGGGACCACCCAGGAGATGGTTTAGTGTCACCACCTTTTTATGTCTGTTTTTTGGGGTTTTTTTAGAAGTAAACTTTTTTTTTTTTTTTTCAGCTTACCCTAAAAACCTCCAAGCCACTCATCCCACTTCCCCTTCTGGGAAGGATCCCACCCACAGCTATTGGGGCAGCAGGAACAGGAAACCCTGGAAAACCCCGAGCCACCACGTGGGGTCTGTCAGCACATCACAAGCCATGGGGACACTGAGAGGTGACTTGGGGCTGCAGACAGTGGGGAGCCTCATGGGCACCCAGAGCCCAGGCAGGCTGAGGTTTAATGTAAAATCAGTGATTCCAGTCCAAAATCTGGGTTTAAGGAGGATTCAAGCGGAGTTACATTGAGCAGCTGGGATATGATAAGGAACAAGTTAAAAGCACATATCTCAGCAGAGGTGTGAGCCCATTCTGCCTCCTTACTGATGAGATCTGGGATATTTAATTCATGGATTTCACCTCAGGGTGGAGATCAGTTCCCATTTTCTGGCTGCCCCCAGGACACCACGCCCTGGTCCCACACATGGTCGGGAGAAATCCACGCTTTCCCTGATGTTTTTTACCTGCTGGATGCAGCCTTTTGTTTCTCTTAGTGGAATAAACATAAGCAGGTAGCTATTTCCAAGGGTGTTTTTTGTTATATAAAAATATTCAATAAAACTGTCCCCAAGCCATTTCCCTGTGATCAGTGACCTGTTCTTGCTGCTTGATGGCTGAGCTGGAGCAGAGCTGTGCAAACACCAGCACCAATATCCACACGCAGCATTTCACACTCTGAGTTGTATAAATTTAACATGGGCAACATGAAGGTTTTTGCTTTCTATTCCAGGAAAGGGTTTTTTATAATTCAACTACCAGGATAGAGGAACAAAATTTGGTAGTTTAAAACTTCAAGGCAAGATTTTTAAGAAATTTGTTTGCAGTTCTGTTCCCTATTCCATTACGTTCATTCATCTCGCTCATTTGAAACAAAGAACCAACACAGCTTAAAAAAAAAAAAAGTGACAGCAGGTCTGGGTGCTTTCTCATCCATCTTTGTTAACTTTTGTTACCTCTCAGATTGGTAACTAATTATTGAAATATCATCTTTGTAAGTTGAGCTACAGAGAAAGGGAATAAATGGTCCATGGGTCAACGGAAAGCAGAAGTGTGTAATCACTACAGATGGGGACTGAGAGCAAAAAACAGCAACACAGCAAACTAGGAAATTGTATTATTGCACAAAATTAGAAACTTCTTTGAGGAGGGTCAAGGATCCCTAAATAGCAAACCAGAGCCCAGGAAAGCAAAGCCTCTGTGCCCCAACACAGGAGTGAGAGGCAGGAAAAAACCCTTCCTGCACCAGCGTGGGGTGAGAGGGAGAAAAGGTTAAAAAAATCATGGAATAACAGACTGGTTTGGGTTGGAAGGGACCTCAAAAATCATCCAGTTCCACAGATCCCAGAGCCCATATTTCAGCTTTACCCAACCAGAGCCACATTCAGGAAAGATGCTGTTCCCACTTACCCTCAAGGAGGAGCAGCAGTGGTGGGACACAGAAAACCCCTGCAAGTCCCTGCTCTTCTGCTGGGGCTGCTTTTAGTCCCAGCTCCTCAGGGTCCTGCAGTTTTCCTTCTCCAGGGGAAGCGCCTCAGCTCCTCACTCACCTTTCTTTCAGGAACACCACCAAAGAAAGCCCCAGGAAAAGTGGCGAGATGCCACATTGTTCCCAAGGCATTGCAGTTTAAAAGGCTGTAAAAAGAGCAACAAATTTTCTCCTCCAAAGAGAGCCCCAAACAAACATCCCGAGGAAAACAAAGCCTTGATGGACACAGATCATGCAGAATGCCCAACAAGTTGCAATAATTCAGCTCCACACACAAATCTCCCCCCACTCTGCTCCAGTACATCAAATATTCCTCCAGATTTTTTGCCCTCCCAGGAGCACAGCCCACAAGTGAAGGGGAATAGCCACAAGCCCTACATGGAGCAGGACAGAAAAGGGAAGGTCTTCAACCTCCTGGGATTCACAGTTCCACATAAAGCCTTTTATTTCCCCCCAGGAGGGAGCCAGGATGGTGGATGTGGGAGTGGAAGGTTCATTAGCACCTGGGCACTCATTTTACCAAACGACCACTGACACTCACAAGTGATTTATATTCCCAACAGATTTATGGGATTATCACAAATAAATGAACTCAAAGGAAAATAAGGCAAAGATTAAATGGTGAGGATGTTCTGGTAAAGGAAAAGAAAATTACAATCAAATATCTGGATTTTTGAAATCTGTATTTAAAACAGGAACAAAACAGAGAGAAAAAAAATCAGTTTTGCCATGCCATGTATAAACTAGTGGAGAGCAAGAAAGAACACTCTGTTAAAAAGTAGATTTCAGCCCACTAAAAGT